TCGGCTCCGGCATCTTCGTCCCCCCCACCGGGGTGTTGCGGGAGTCCGGCTCGCCGGGGATGTCGCTGGTGGTCTGGGCGGTCTGCGGGGTCTTCTCCATCGTGGGGGCCCTTTGCTACGCCGAGCTGGGCACCACCATCACCAAATCCGGCGGGGATTACGCCTACATGCTGGAGGTGTACGGCTCCCTGCCCGCCTTCCTCAAGCTCTGGATAGAGCTGCTCATCATCCGGCCCTCCTCGCAATACATCGTGGCTCTGGTCTTTGCCACCTACCTGCTCAAACCCATCTTCCCCACCTGCCCGGTGCCTGACCTGGCTGCCAAACTGGTGGCTTGCCTCTGTGTCCGTAAGTATCCCCCCCCCCTCCAAAAAAACCCCCCCCCGGGGGTGCCTGCAGCCCCACGTGGCTCTGCCTTCCCCAGGAAGGCAGCCCAGGCTGCCCGGAGCCCATCGCTGTGCAGGAGATGCAGCCTCTCTCCTCTGCTAAACAGCCCCCATAGTCTGATTTATTTCTTTTTTGGGGGGCTATTTTAAACGGTGCGAGTAGGAAATGCGGCCCCGTCCCAAAGAAAACGGACAAGAAACCGCTCCCGCTGTCAGTTAGGGGCTCTGAAGCCTCCGGGAGCAGCGGCTGGGACCTGCAGAGCGCACTGGGAGGGGGTTTCTCGTGCTGGGGCAGGGTCAGAGCCCCTTCCAGCCCTGCCATGCGAGCTGTGCTGGGTGGGGAGGTTCCTGTGCCGCCGGGATAACGTGCGGTGGGGAAATTATCTGTCGGGAGCAACTGGTGCTGAACACGGCCTGTGCTGCACTGCCTGTCTTGTTTTCAGCACCAGGTTTGAGATGAGGCGTTTCTGGGCTCCGTGTGCACGGTTACTGTGCTCAAAACCTGCGTGATATTTGCTCTTCTTTTGCTAGCAAGGAACTCCAGCCCTGCTGTGATGAGCTTAGGGCTGCTGATGCCTGGCACGGCACACGGATGTCTCTCCTGATGCAGTTTTTATCGTGTCAGTGGTACTTTGAGGTCCGTGGTTTTGCCAGTGAAGCCCCATTTTCCATTCCTCCAGTGACTGCAATGTCACCCCATCCAAATTCCTCCTTTAAATACAGGACCGTTTTCTGCCTTTCTCTCCTCATTTCCCATTCAGTCTGTGTTCCACTCCACTGGCACTTCCAGTGCTGTTGTAAAGGTGTGTATTGCCAGAGTCTAATTTTTTTCTGAGGGCTTTATAAAAGCATCTATTTGCTGTACAAAGTTACAGTCAGGTGATCTTTTTATATTTTGGAGAGTGTGAGGAGAAGTCTGCTTGATCATGCTGTCCAAAGGGAGATGGTGTTAGATTCCTTCACCCCGGAGGATGGCAGGCAGTCAAAAGTTGCAGCACGTGGTCTTTATGGGAAGATATATTATCTGTAAATGTCTTAATACACAAACTGAGTCTTTGGTAGATATATTCTATGGCTGGCTGGTAGATAAAACAAGATCAAACAGGCAGGGCAGTGAATTGTATTTTGGGGGGGGCAGAATTGAAACTCACTCATTCCTCAGATAAATTTTTTGGAGTATAAGAGCAAGTAGACAGGCTTGTGGACTTCCCAGGCAGGTTTTTAACAAAATGGAGTGCATATATTAAGCAGATATTGTCACTCGACTAAGTGTAGTGGGGCTAGGAAATAGTTCTGCTGATGGGTTTCTTGCCTTGGCTAGAGCCTTGTGAAAACTCTGATTTTGGAGCTGTATTGCCAGTCTGCAGTATGTATTCTTCAGGGACACAGAGGGAAGGAGGGTGCATGCACGTGGCATTCAGGGGGTTGTGTTTTTCCTGAGAAGCTGACAGAATCAAAGTATTGATTAGATGGGCTTTCTTACTCTTTTATGTTAGAAGTTTTGCTGTGCAAGAACATACTGTAGTAGACACAAAGCCTTTGAGGGCGGGTTTCTAATAAGTAACTCTTCATCTGCATGATCTTTCCCAAAATAGGTGGGATGAGGTGTCACTGTTCCCCACTTTAGTCATCGGGAAACAATTACAGGAGTGAGGCTGATTTGCCCATGGCAAGATCTGTTCAGTGCCAGGGTGGATCCCAGCATGAAATTTCTTGACGCCAGGTCTCATTCATGCTTGTGCTTCTCCAGTAAGTCCTGTGTGCCCAGCTTTCTTTTGCTAGCAATTAGTAGTTTTCCTGGAGGAGCTCTTGTTCTTGAACCTTTATCTTGAAATGCCAGGGAAGGAGCTGCTAGTGCTACAAATCTGCATCATTTCCATGTGTTTCTTCTTTAAACTTCCCCCTACGCTGCTGGCTACTATTTTGTTTATGCTTCGGGTTAAATTTTTTGTTTGTCTCCTTTGCTACAAAAGGTTAGTTCATCGCCCCTTGCCTTCAGCAAGTTAGTTTGCTGTAACTTTGATTTCTGGAGTTAGCCTTTCTGCTGTCTGGTGCCAAAACCACATCACGAACTAGGAACAATAAATGAAGTAAATCTGGTCAAAGAACTTGGCAAATCACTCAACTTCTATGGACTAACAAGCAGCTTTTTACCATTTCATGGTTGTTCCAAACATACCCCTACCCAGTGAGATATTATTTTTTCCAAGAGCCCTAGGCTAGGAAAAATGACCTATTTGTGCATACACTCTAGTGCATACATTAATAACATTATCTCCAAGCTGGAAGAATGGTTTAGGAAGCAATAGAGGAATTTGGGGCCCTGGGCTGGAATGCAGTTGACTTATGTAGCCAAAACTCATCTGTCCAGAACAGTACCAGCTGTATTTTTTTCTAAGTTTGTTTCTCAACATAAAATACAATTGGTTGCCTGGTTTCTAGTACAAGGAGAAATAACTTGTTTCTACTTTGAGTGTTACTGTTGTTGAAGAGTTGGAATAAATAGTGTGTAGTTTGATACTTGCCCCAGTGTAGTACAGAAATTGAATTCCTAGGCATTAAGATAATCTAAATAAATCACAGTCTTGAAAGAAAGAAAAATAAATAGTTGGAGTAGGGGTTTTTGTTCCCCTTAAGGTGCTGAAGAAAACAAGGTGGGCGGTAAGTAGAATTTAACTACAAATACTCTGCTATCAAGATTGTAATCTACAGTTGGTATGCAAGACTTTTCCTTCCACAAGACAACAGGAATGCTTATTATGGTTGTTAAATAAGTGTGGGAATTCACTCCAGGGAAGTCTTCGTGTAGCAAGATGGATCAAGCTGTTAATCATTAGTGGGGTTTATTTGATGTTCACCACAGAACAACCAGTGCTCCCGAGTTTTAAGAATTTGCAGATAGCTTGGGCTAAGGCTTTTCAGGCTGAGGATTACTTGGGTAACTCATAAACTGCATGTTATTTGCTCATTAAGATTGGGTGGCTGATACTTTTAGGACTGCTAAATCATAAAAGCAAACTCTAAGGGATAACAAACGTAAGGTCCACCTAGTATCCAAACCTTTTTTGATCAGTTCATGAAAGTGAGGATTTGTGCACGTGCTGGAAGACCCAGCAATAATTTGAACTCCTACAATATCATAGCATCTAAACCAATTTTACCCCTTCTTCAGAGGATGGAGGGACAGTTACTAGGTCCTGACTTTTCAGATTTGATGGCATTTCCATAACAGTATCAGTATTGTACATGGCAATGAATTAAACTTCTAAGGATTCTGTTCTCTGTGTTTCAGGTGCACATTTGAGGCCATCTAGATAAATGAAAACCCACTATATTTGGTGTTGGCTTCTACTTTTTTCTGTTGAGAAAGCATCATGGTGCAACCTACATTCACACTGCACTTCCAACATACTTTTCTCTTTGTCTGCAGGTTTCTACAGTTTATTTTGACTTTGGATTTAAAAAAATACACACTTTTTAACAGAATGTCTAGATAGCAGGTGTAGTTTTGAAAGAGCTGGTTTATATAAATTGCAGGACCATCTTCATGTCACAGCTGCCCCTTGTGTTACGTTTCTTAAATGTGAACTGATGCATCTTAAAAATCATTAAAAATTCACAGAGCACAACACAGTATATGTTCTAGAGATGTCCCAAGGATGGAAAGCTTCAAGTTATCATATCTAAGATATCGTAATATATGTGTGTTCCTCAAGTATGCATGTTTCACAAGTGCCTGAACTGTTCTTCCTACACATGTTCTTAGACTGCCCTGTACCCCTGTGTGCTGCATACTAGGTTATTCTGTAATATCCTTATTTCCTGACAGTACAGTCTGCTCCTCAGAAGCTTGTGAAACTCTGCCAGTTGCATACAATTTTACTCTTGATCTTCATTCTCAACTCAGTGATTTGATTGTTAGCTTCTGACACCCTTTATTGCTTGTTAATTATGTATGCTAAGCTGGCTCTAATAACCCAAATAATGCTGCAGCAATATCTGCTACTTCCAAAGCTACAGTATTTTAATCTTCTTTAGCATTTCTTTAGACTTCCTTTGCTGCTTCTGAAATACTATTTTGGGCACTCCTCCTGCAAGCACGGAATTCCAGTAAAGTGATCACATATTTCTCAGTTGTCTCTTGTGTTATGAGCAGTCTAATCGTGGAAGAATTAGTAGCAGTCAGTGCTGAGTTGAGTCATGTCTAATAGCACATGTGGTATGGAAGGAACAGTGCCTGACACCCCCCAGAGTACATTGTGAGTTAAAGGAGGAGGCTGGTATCAAATCCAGGCTCTGGCAAAAGTGTCTAAACACATGCCTTGAACGCTTGCCAAATTATAGCTGTGGTCCAGAAGTGAATATTCAGTGCCAACATTTCAACTAGAAATGGCTTTCATTGAAAGCA